TTTTATTCTGGAATAAATCCCTCTTCCTCAGCATTGTATTCCATTCAAACACCTCACGCTCATAAACAGGCTCAAGAAGATCATAGCATGCATGCATACTAAGTCGCTCAGTCATGTCCAACTCTTTGTGACCCCATGGACTGTAGCCCACCAGGCTCCTTCGTCCACGGAATTATCCAGGCCAGAATACTGGAGTGGTAGTTTGGGAGGTCAGAAGGCCAGTCACAATCCAGAAAGTTGAATTTTCTGCTCGGGGTCTCAGAGGCTGAAATCAGGATGTTCGGAGGGCCACATTCCTTTGTGGAGGCTCAAGGGAAGCATTCACTCCCAAGCTCACTCAGGCTGCTGGAAGAACCCAACTTCCTGTGGTCTCAGGACTAAGATGCCTATTCCATTGCCTCTGTCAGCTGCGAGCTGCTCACAGCATCTAGAAGCTGTGTGCCTTCCTCACTACATGGATTTCTCCACCTTCAAAGCCAACAAATGAGAAACTTCTCTTTTTTTACCTGATTAGACAAAGCCATTCCCAAAATCCTTTGCAAAACAGTCCCTTCTTGACATATACACCCTACTATATATAAAAGAGATTAACTAATAAGGACCTACTATACAGCACAGGGAACTCCACTCAATACTCTGTAATGGCCTATATGGGGAAAGAAACTAAAAAAAAGTTGGATATATGTATATGTATAACTGATTCACTTTGCTGTGTACCTGAAACAGACAGAACACTGTAAATCAACTCTACTCCAATAAAAAATTTTTTAAAAAACAATGGGGGGGAGGGAATCCCTTCTTGATATATATCTCTTGCTGAAACAGCTAAGAAATAAAATCCTTAAGCTTCCTAGAAGTCAACTGGTTTGATTGAGAAAATAAAATCTGTGAGGCACATGCTTCATTTCTTGAAGGAGCCTTTAGTGTAACTAAATATTCTGACCTTTTGATCTTTCTGAAGTTTTAGCAAAAGGTTATACAGCACACCCTGGGCTTTTTGTTGGTGTCACACTTTCAGAAACAATTTCTTCACTTTAACATTCTTTGCCATATGGATAGGCTGAAAATTAACTAAATCATCTAGTACTCGTTTCTGTTTAACAAGACTTCTCTCAATTTTCCTTTTGTTCTCATCTTTTACTATAAGTAGCAAGAAAAAACCAGGCAGTACTTTCAACATTTTGCTTGGAGATCTCCTTGGCTATAGCTATCTATCCAACTTTATCATTCAGGTTCTGCTTGCATATTCAAAGCCTGAAAAGAGAATCCCTCTCGAGTCAAATCCCTCAAATTTTAAAATCTTTCTTTGCCAGGAAGAGATCAATCCCTTTTAAGGGCTCATCTGATTAGGCAAGAACCACTGAGGATAATCTTTCTTTCTTAAAGTTAACTGTGAAGACAATATAATCTAATTGCAGAAGGATCTCATTATACTCATCGGTCACATCCACACTCAAGGAGAGGGGCAGGGAATCTTGGGTGCCACACTGGAATTCTCCCTACAGGGACTATTATGTAGCAATTTTGAAATTACTTTCTATGTACAATAGGAAGTGTTGTTCAGTTGCTAAGTCATGTCCAACTCTTTGAGATCCCATGGACTAGCAGCACACCAGGCTTCCCTCTCCTTCACTATCTCCCAGAGTTTGCTCAAACTCACGTCCACTGTGTCGATGAAGTCATCCAACCACCTCATCCTCTGTTGCCTCCTCCTCCTGCCTCAATCTTTCTCAGCATCAGGGTCTTTTCTAATGAGTCAGCTCTTCACATCAGGTGGCCAAAGGATCGGAGCTTCAGCTTCAGCATCAGTCCATCCAATGACTATTCACGGTTGATTTCCTTTAGGACTGACTGATTTGATCTCCCTGTTGTCCAAAGGACTCTCAAAAGTCTTCCCCAGCACCACAATTCAAAAGCATCAATTCTTCAGCACTCAGCCTTCATTATCGTCTAACTCTCACATCTGTACATGACTACAGGAAAAACCATAGCTTTGACTATACGGACCTTGAACAAACGAGTAAATACACTGGTGATGCTGGAGGACAAGTTTTTCACTGGAGAAGTGAAATACAAATACTGAATGGGGAAAGGCTAGGAAGTTGGATTCAGATTGGATGTATCACAGTGAACTCATGATTTTTTTAATATATTTTGCTTATTCTTTGGTTGGTTGGTTTATCCCTCCAGCCCCAACTCTGTCTTCTGAAATATTCTAGAAGATTAACACCTCAGCAACAATGAACATAAGCAGTGCCCTAGATCTTGATTTGTAAATAGAATTCCCAATTCAAGAGAGCCACGGAATGCTAGAAAAATCAGAACAGAATAGTACAAGGTGAGCCAGGAACATTTTGTTGTGCCAGAATGTAAGAAAGTACCCCCGAAATGATGGGGATATGTCAAAAGGATAAAAACCAGTGTAATGGAGTTTCTATTAGAGAAAAAGCTCTGGAAATATTCAGAATTTGGAAAAAAACACAATGTATTTTAAATGAATTCATTTTTTAGAGCTATATTTGCAGTTAAAATTACCAGTTACAACTGCTTGAGGAAATAAAAATATACCTAAAATCCACAGTTTACAATATTTTACTCCTAAGAAACAATATTTACCATTAAAAAGACATGACTAAAATATTTCATTTCCAAGTAATAAGGGCAATTTTTTGGAGAGGTTTTATATCAGAATAACTACATGTACTATTCAAACATAAATAAAGCATTTGAAAGTACCTTTTTCCCCAAATTCCTTATAAAACTTCTAATTTTCGTAATTAAAGTACAATCATAGAGAAATGGCCCACTAAAATGTCCAAGCGTTATAGTGTCCCCTGGGCCTGTCCTCTCCCACTGTAGCCAAGTAATTATGAAACAAATGGCACAGAACCGTTATTAAAGTTGAAAAGGGCCGAAGGTAAAGTATGGGTCTACGAGTTTAAAAGAATAGAGAAAAACATTCTTTGGGACTTCCCTGGTGGTCCAGTGGTTAAGACTCTGCACTTCCCCTGCAGAGGCCTGGGTTCAATTCCTGGTCAGAGAAATAACATCCCACATGCTGTTGGGGGCCAAAAAAAGAAAAACACTCTCTGAGTGGAAGTAATATACTAAAATTCTGGTTTAGAATAAATGAGTTTTAGATGATAATATAACTACAGTTTTTAAAGTATGTGTTTGAATGGTTTAAGGGCTGATTCTTGTTTATCCTTGTCCTACTTTCCTAGTGACTTAAACCTGAAGAAGTAATGTCCCATTTTCCCAGATAATATAAGCAATAAATCCTATGAACTCGAGATCAGTGATCTTCATATTTTAAAGAAACAGCCGAACCTGATTTTCAAAGAATATCTTATAAAGAACTTCCAAAAAAAAAAAAAAGAAAGAAAAAAAGAACTTCCATACGGAAAACAGACAAAACTGGAATCTCTCTGGCTGAAGGAGGCCCCCTGCCCCTCACTCCCACTCTGAGGCCTCGCATTCCATTCTACTACATAGCTCCAAACAATATCTTATGTAAAGGTTCTTGTGTGATCAGAAAAAAATGTTTTTCAGATTCATAAAGGAAAAAAGGTATACAAAAATGGAAATCTTAACTGTGATTATATTTGGATTATAGAATTATGAGTCATTTTCCCTTTTCAAATTTTTAACAGTCAATAAAAATTACTGTTAAAAACTCAATAAATTAGTTTTTGAAGGTATAAATAAAAATACTCTCCCTGTAATGCAATATGTAACAGAAATACATATATCTGTATACATTATATATATATATGTTCAGTCACTAAGTCATGCCTGACCCTTTTGTGACCCCATGGACTGTATGTAGCTCACCATTGGATTTTCTAGGCAAGAATACTGGACTTGGTTGCCATTTCCTTCTTCAAGGGCTCTTCTTGACCCAGGAGTCGAACCCATATTTCTTGCTTTGCAGGCAGATTCTTTACCACTGAGCCACCTATATGTGTGCCTGTGTGCTAAGTCACTCAGTCGTGTCTGACTGCGAGACTATGGACTGTAGCCCGCCAGGCTCCTCTGTCCCTCGGATATTCCATGCAAGAATACTAGAGTGGGTTGCCATGTCCTTCTCCAGGGGATCTTCCCAATCTAGGGATTGAATCTGTGTCTCCTTCGACTCCTGAACTGCAGGAGGATTCTTTACCACTGAAGCCACAAAATCAGCCCACTTGCACGTGCGTGCCTGTGTGTATGTATGTGTGTGAAACTGAAACTGCAGAAATAGCCAGATATAGAACCACCAGATCCCTTTCGTCTTGAAATTTTCTTGGCTAAAATTTAAATCCACAAAGTCTTAGTTTTTGTAATGTAAGAAGCCCTGAGCAGCTGAAATATTAGTAAGAACTTAGAAACTAGCAAAAAGAACATCTTTTCCTCACATTTTTAAAGAAAAATTGTCTGTGGTAACCATAAACTAAAAAAGAATAAGTTAAATAAGAGTTTTTAAAGCTTTCATTTCTACAAACTCATTGTTTAAATAAAGTTTGGCATTCTCAAAAAGCTTCAAATCAAACAGATAAAAACGGAACGATTTGAGTGTAAGACAGAGAGGCTGATCTGGAGCACTGTCTGCTTTATTTTCTTATCACCATCACCCTAAAAAAAATCTTTGGTAGATACTTTAGGGAGGTGATTTTAAGATAAGAGGAGAGAAACTCTAGTGGAATACATCAAAGGAAAAAACCACTATTCAAGTCACCATTTCAATACAATTGCATATAGCATTATGTTTAAGTTATATCTGAATGCTGTTTGAACCATCTAACACACACTGGACACTCAATGAACAGCCAATAAACAAAAGGAAAGCTATGAGACTGCAACCATCAGTAGGACTGTGAGGTATTTCAGTAGACTTCAGCAGAGGGCAGTTTGAAATACACTGTATTAATTTATAGCAGAAATTATGGCAGCAACAATAAGCTGTGAGTAAATGTGCATGGAATTAATTAAATTACTAAAATATTCTGGGTCATACTTACCTTGGTATTGGCCATATCCACAATATACTGGTCTCCTTTTATACATTCCATTACTTCAAAACCATCTCTGTCAATCACTTTGGCCTGAGAGCTTCCAGATACAACAAGTATCATGTCTCCCGTGTTACTGTACTGTAATGACTTGATCTGATGGCTACGCAAAAAAAAAATAAGAAATTCTGGTAAGACACAGAGTATGTTTATACTTTCACTCCATTAAGCACTGTCAGAAAAAAAACTTCAACTATACAAATTGATAATTCTATAAAATCAGGAACATCACCCTCAAAAGGGCCCTCAACACCAGTGGCTATCCTATTAAGCTCTCCTCTCACTCTCCACAGCAATCTATTAAAAACCTCTCTACTCACCTTAAATCTTCAACCCACATAACTCCCCATCTCTAGTTCTTGCTTCTTCCTGCTTTGTCCCAGAAGAAACATATAAGGACTGCCTCAGTGTGCTCTCATTACTGTTATAAAATGTATCTGCTTCTGAACTCTTCCCTTGCTTCTTCTCTTTGATTACAATGATGAAAATGAACCTCTTCCTGCCCAAGGCATATCGACTACCTGTATTTTGGATCCCACCTCTTCCAGTCTCCTTGGGAACTTATGACTAACCTCTCTCTCCTCCCCTTCTCAGCTAAGCTATTAAACAAGTTTTCATCTCCTCCCTTATTTCTCTAGCACCCAGGTGGCACTAGTGGTAAAGAATCTGGCCTACCAATGCAGGAGACACAAGAGACGTGAGTTCAATCCCTGGGTCGGGAAGATCCCCTGGAGAATGGAATGGTAACCCAATCCAGTATTCTTGCCTAGAAAATTCCAAGGCCAGAGGAGCCTGGCAGGCTATAGTCCATGAGTCACAAAGAGTCAGACACAACTGAGCATACACATACACACACATAGAGTATCCTTTTCACCCTCACCACCCCACTGAAAGTGATCCTGCCACTGTGGCTATAGTGGATGACCACCCACATCAATCCTTTCAGGACTGAAGTACTCATTCCCCAGCTTCCAGGATTTGACCTGCTGGTGGCTTACAACTGAAGTCTCAGGAATTTCTCTGAATTGCAGAGAACTCCCTCATCCAAGGCTATGTTACTATCCCAAAGCAGCCCACATTTAAGGACTGGCCAATGTGTAGTAAAATGGCCCTGCCCTCTGGTTCAACTGGAATACCTCAGAAGGGTTATTCCAGCTTCAGATCTCCCTTCGGAAATCAGTTGAGGTTTCTGTTGCAACCACCTGGCAATTCAGTTCCTTCATCTTCCTAATGCTGTTTTCCTCACAGCTTCTCTCATAGAAGCACTCCTCCAGAAAGCACTACTCCACTTCTCTCCAGAAGCACTCCTCAACAAACCTCCTACATGCAAATCCTGAAGCTTCAAAGTAAGTCTTGGGAGAATCAAACCTGAGAGGGTTGATATCAAAGTAGACCTATGGAGCTATTCCAAAATAAGATTTTAGAGTGATGTCAATCATGGACTGGTTAGCAATGAGGACCCCTTCTCTGGTGGTACCTAGTCCCTGATGAGCTGCAGCAGTGCAACTGCATTGCTAAAACTGTTGGGTGAGAGGGAAGGCACTGGCTGGTGCAATATTTCAGGCATTTGAGAGTACAGGAAAATAAGTAATTGAAAGGATTGTGGAACTAGGTAGCTATTGCTAGGGGCAGTAAATACAATGAAGAAAGTAAATGAAAGGCTGAGGATGGTCATCACCAACTAAAGACTATAGTGTGGAGGCTGCAGCACATAAAGACAGGGTTATCGCTCTCTCAGCTAAGTGCTGTGCAGTCACTGATCCCGCAAAGCAGGTGTTTCTACCTCTATTAGGAAGGAAGACCAAAAGCAGTAGACATTCACATGTAAATCAACAGCAGCATACATTTACATGCTTCAACCAGAGCTATGTTAATTTTCTAGTCCTCTGTCTTAATATAGTCCCAAGGGACCTGGATGACCTGGACAATACAAAGAAATTCATGCTGGTCCCAGATCTCCATGATAGCATGTTAACTGTATCAGGTGAGCAAACTGTATCAACTACATTGGTTAGACATGCTCTCCAGGAGATGAGAGGTAAAACATAGAAAAGATCAGGAGACTGAGAAAAGAAGATATGGGATGATCCATGTAGACAGACAAACAAAGGTAGAAATCAAAAATGAAGCTCTTTGTATCACATGTTAATCCCAGAAAACATCAAACTTAAAAGAGGCAATGAACCACCATGCAGACAAAGTGAGTTGGCCGGTTCAGTTGACACTAGCTAGCTTTTGTCCTCATCCACCCTACTCTTAATGCAGTAGGCTCATAAATGAACCGGTGGTGGCGGGAGAAGGGAGGAAAGTCATGCATAGGAAAGAAAACAGCTCTCAAAGCTAACCTAACTGCTGCTGAAGGGCCAACCTGCCAGTAACAGAGGACTACAGTATGCCCGCCCCCACAATCAGTACTAGGCTAATTAATATGTAAAATGTGAAAAACTACAGTAAGTGTACCTTATGCGAAGAGCTGACTCATTTGAAAAGACCCTGATGCTGGGAAAGATTGAGGGCACGAGGAAAAGGGGACAACAGAGGATGAGATGGCTGGATGGCATCACCGACTCAATGGACATGGGTTTGGGTGAACTCCGGGAGTTGGTCATGGACAGGGAGGCCTGGCGTGCTGTGGCGCATGGGGTTGCAAAGAGTCGGACACGACTGAGCGACTGAACTGAACTGTACAGGGAAAGACAGAGTGGGAAAGGCCGAGTAGGTACTAAGGGGGCAAGAATAAATATTTTAAATCGAGTGGTCAGGAAGTAAGTGACTAAAGTGTCTTATCAGGTAACTGAGGAAGTAAGTTATGTAGATATTATCAGGAAATTACTAGAAAGGATTTGCAGCAAAAGAATACTTGGTATATTCCCAATGTGGCTGTAACAAAGAGAGCAAAAAGAACCGAAGTTGGAGACAAGGTAAGAAGGCAGCAATTAGGCTGGGGCAGAGAGCCATTTAGCCACCAAAAGGACCTTGGTTTCACTCTCTTTGGAAGAAATGAGAGGCAATCCAGCAGACTATTATAAGGTGAGAAACGACACAACCTGACCTACACTATACAAAACCACTTTTTTTGTGCCTGGACCTTTCATAGCTTGAGGTCTATGGAGCCCTTCTTAGCATGTTTTTTAAACACATTAAAAAAAAATACACCACATACACCATGGAAATCATTTATAAAGAACTAACGATAAAAATATTTTTTTAAATTTGTGACATAATATGTGAGTTTCTAGACTAACGTATCAAGTAACTATGCCTAGAGGCAGGTCTAATAACTACTGTAATTCCAAAGCAGTGATGAGCGTGAAAGTGAAAATGTCAGTCGCTCAGCCATGTCTAACTCTTTGCAACCCCATGGTATATAGCCTCTGTCCATGTAAATCTCCAGGCAAGGATACTGGAGCGGGTAGCCGCTCCCTCCTCCAGGGGACCTTCCCCACCCAGGGATCAAACCTGAGTCTCCCTCACTGCAGGCAGATTCTTTACCATCTGAGCAACCAAGGAAGCATCTGTAACAATGGTAATGTGTTATGAAAATATCTGAAATCTGCAGGTATACCTGTGACTTTGTCGTCTACTTTTACAATTAAAGGAAGTGCTAAATTTCAGCTAGAGTTTAGTGAGAGGAAAGAAATTATTATTTAGGTTCACAGAAATTGGGAGGACCAGATACTGACCTTCTAAGCCAAGCCATGGAATTTTAAATAACCATTATTAATAAATTAAATGACAAGGTAAAATTTTATATTTGTTGTTGTTATTTAGTTGCTAAGTCATGTGACCCCATGGACTCAACATAAACCATGAGGTCTTTTGTGACCCCATGGACTCCAGCCCAACAGGTTCCCCTGTCCGTGGAATTTCCCAGGTAAGAATACTGGAGTGGGTTGCCACTTCCTTCTCCTGAGGATTTTTCCAACCCAGGGGTCAAACCTGCATCTTCTGCATTAGCAGGTGGATTCTTTACTACTGAGCCACCAGGGAAGCCTAGTAGAAAGAATTCTCAAAGAATTCTGGAGTATACACACACACAGTACTCAACCATAAAAAAGAACAAAATTTTGCCATTTGCAACAACATGAAGAGACCAAGAGGGTACTATGCTTACTGAAATAAGTCAGACAGAGAAAGATAAATAGTATATGTTATCACTTATATGTGGAATCTAAAAATAAAACAAATAAATATAAATATAATGCAACAGACTAAGAGATATAAAGAACAAACTCATGGTTACCAGTGGGAAGAGGGATGAGGAGACAGGCAAGAGGATAAAGAGATACAAACTACCATCTAGAAAATAAATAAGATATGAGGATATATGTACTATACATATATATATTGTATAGCATAGGGAAGAGCACCAATACTTGATAACTTTAAATGGTATATAATCTATAAAAATATTGAATCACTATCTAATAAAACTGAAACTAATTTATAAATCAACTATATTTTAATTTTAAAAAACAGGTAGAAAAAAACAGGTAGAAAATCAAATGAATAATCAAAGCCCAAAATATAAAATTTCTCTATCAAAAATAAAAATGATCACATTTTTTTAAGCTGTATTCAGCTATAGTGTCCTCTATGAATGTAATTCTTTTCATAAAATTAATTAAATTCCTTGATTTATCCTAACAGGCAAAACTCAAAATAAAATTGGCTTCAACAGTAAAACAATTTTAATAAAATGTTAGGTCATTTAGTCCAATTTACTTTCTAAGTCTATAATTTTAAGGCTGAGAAATAAATAGGTATTTCATTTTAAAAAACTATTAATTCACGATAATTGTGTCTTCTAAAAATAGAATATACACAAAAAGTTAGAATTCTGGTATGTTTAGTTAAGGCTGAGTAAGGTTTTTCTTCCTGGTTGGTTACCAAATCCAAATCAGATATTTACCAATGAAACTGCTTTTATGCACAGTCACCACTAACTAGAGACGGCTGCTCAAAATTTTTACTGTTTTTCCTAAAATGATGAAATGCTAGCTTATAGTATCTGAAATATTTATTCTGCAAAAAGTCATTCTTAATGTACAAATTCAGAGTACTGACTCCAATGGCAAAGATAATTCAAACAAAAATCTGAGT